ACACACAAAGCTCCCCATTGAAAAGATCAAGGTCAACTGTTATTAAAACTTAAGAGCAAGAACCTAACACAGGTCATGGCACAGAGCAGGTGCTCAAATGTCTAAGGAATGAGTATGTGAATGAATGAATGAATGTGATTTCTAAGGAATGAGTATGTGAATGAATGAATGTGATTTTTTTAAAGTACGGTTTTAGATTTCACTAAAACTTACACAATTAGCTCTTTATATGCTCTGGTAGTATTACTGATAATACTTTTAAAAATCATCTTTAGATGTAATAAGTTCATTGTAAAACATTTTGTACAGATATTATAAAGAAAATAAAAATCACCTTTAGACCCACCATCAATGTTAACATTCCTGAAAACCAATAATATAATTTGAAGTTATGTATAAGATAGTATGACCTTATAACATATTTTTTAGGTCATATGACAGTATCATGGAACATAAGGATCTTGCCATATAACTTTCTCTTGCTTCTGTACAGCATCTCCCAATTACTCATAAGATTTATTTAAGAATGTTATGTATATGTATGTGTGTGTGTGTGTGTGTGTGTGTGTGTGTATACACACACATATACATACATACACACACACACACACAGGTGTGTTTTTTTTTTAATGGAATGCTTAAAACTATGAAACGGCCTTTTGGGTCATTGTGAATACTCATTTATGTATTATGTGGCCTCACATTATGAATGAAGCACCATATTCTGAGAATATATCAATTGCTGCTTAACTCTCAAACTCAGCTACTTAAAGCAATAAACATTTATTATCTCACAGTTTCTGAGGGTCAGGAGTTGAAAAACAGCAGTTATCTGGGTAATCTGGCTCTGGATTCTCATGAGTCAAGGTGTCAGCCAGGGATGCAGGATCCATTTTTAAGATGGTTCACTCACAAGTTTGTTAAGTTGGTGCTGGCTACTGGTGAGAAGTCCTATGGACCTTTCCACAGAACTGCTTGGAACGTGGAGGCTCCAAAAGAGATAAAGTGGAGCCAAGATGCTTTATGACCTAGCCTCAGAGTCACACTCCACCAACTGCACCATATCTTCATGGTTATACAGTCAGCCCTATTTAATGTGGGAGGGCACCACACAGGGCATGAACACAAGGAGGTAAGAATCATTGGAGGCCACTACCACAATAGCGTAACGCAAGACTTTGGAGAACCTGTTATCAAGAGCTACCATTCAAACAGCTATCCAGTTTGCATCCTCCATCCTAGTGAATGTCAGGGGATCAAGAGCACATCATTCTAACTGCCCTCCCCTTATCTGTTAAGAAGGAAGAAAATAATTATAATACAATGTGACAATGAAGTCTGTAGTACTAGTAGCATGGGCAAGCAGCTAAGAGAACCCAAAGAATGATTTCCACTGTCTCAGCAAATTAAGAGGTAACAAGTGAGTTGGACACTGAACAATCAGAATACTGACTGAAATAAATCAAGATTTCTTCCTCAATAAATATGGCAGAAAAACACTCAAAACAGCCCTTGTCAACACAAGTTCTGAGAGAATTAAGTCCTAATGCCCTAAGGAAGCTACTATAAGTAATGAATTCATTTATTTCTTATGCATCTAGAAGGCAAAGCCATGTCCCATCCTTGAGAGAACTAAGAAAATATTCATTGAAATGATTTTCTGTAGGGCTGAATTTTTTCACAAAATCCTAGTTGAGAAAGACCACAAAATGAATTGAAAAGATAGTTCACAGACATAAATATAGCAAGATCTCAGATATTCCCACACACAGTTCCTAAAATAAATGGCCGAAATGTACATAACTGTATATAAGGCATTATACAACTATACCAGAGGAGCTAGAAGGACAGAGGAGATTAACAGAGTCAAAAGATTAATAGAGACCTGGCCACACCCATCCTGTAAGGGCTCAGAGCAGAGCTGCTCTGTAAGGCAGTTAAAGGGAGGATGAAATTAGCCATCACTCCAATACTAGCAGGTAAGAATAGTCTAGGGAGGAAGGAAGAAAGCAATTAGGCAAGATAGGAGCCCTTCAATTTGCATCCTCCATCCAAGTGTATGTTAGAGCAAGAGCATATAATTCTAACCAAGTCCCCCCTCACCCTTATTTGCTGAAGTTAGAATGTACAGGTTCATTGTGATCTGAAATTCTGGTGCATGTGCACCTAACCACAAAATGGTGCGATGTGTCTGAATGCCCCACATGGTTCACAAGGGGATGGGAATGCCTCAGTCCCACATCACGAGTGTAGCTACTCCACACAGGAGAGACTTGTTCATGCCCACGTGGTAGAGTGCACGGGGGACTGGGACAAGGCAGTTTATGCAGTTGTGGTGGGAAAAATCCCTATAGCCAAAACCACAAAGCCAACTTCTGTTCAGCAAGACTGCTATTATTCAGCCTCTGAAAGACCAAAGAATAAGAAAATGCATACTAAGCCACACCTTAAAAAGTCATGACAGAATGGCATGTCATAGCTTGAAGGAAACATTACAAAAGAGATCCTGAATCACGTGTTAACCTAAATCGCCCCACCTCAGGGCTGAGTACTTTCCATATTCCTCTGACAGTGACCTCTTAAAATCCCGCTTTCTCTAATAAAACCTTCCTAACAAAAACCTCATAAACCAGCTAAAATAAACATGCATTCATGACTAAACTTACCTCTTGCTGTGTATGTGTTTTAATGTATGTGTCCCTACTACTCTCTCCATTTTCTATTTTAAGTCCTGCAAGACAGAGACCATGATTCTCCCAGAATCTAACCACAAAAGCCTCATGAGGTTGCAATAATAAGCCCTATTTACAGCTAACACTAACTAGCTTTGAAGAGAAATTCAATGAAGACCATGTTTTTAAATGGGAGCCTTTCTGAAAGTGTCACAATACATTTTAAGATTGATACACGCATATTCAATATTAATATGTACTGAGAGCCCCGACAGCATCACCAAAACCAGTCTGCCTGTATATATTTAAAAAAAAAAAGAAAGTGTGTGTGCGCGCGCAGGGGGGGGGGGGGCGGGCCGGAGACGGACGAACATTACCAGAAGTCTCTGAGATAGTTATTAAAAACCATACCCCTAATTGAAAAATAAAAAAATACCCATTTCCTCAAGTTCATGTTTAGAGTAATCCCAGACTGCTATCAACACATACTGGAGCCCAATACACACCCAGAGCATCATTTCCTATGATCTTGATTTCAAGCATCACTTCATGTTATGTGTGCAAATTTGACTTTTCTTCACTTTTAAACAAAAGCAGCCCACATTATAAAACTAAAAACTCAACTCCAAAACAGATCATAGTATTCCAGTGCCTTATCTTGGCTGACAAAGCTGAAACGTCTTCTCAGCTGGCCACCAAAAACCCACCACTAAAAAGTCAGGTTTCCCAATGCTCCTTGCTCTTGGTGAACAAATAAACTAAAAAGATGTGGAGACCAAATGCAACTGGCATTAATTTCAAACTCCCACCCCAAAATCAGGTTTAAGTACAGTTGCAAGATTGTCATGTATTATTTGCCAATAAACAGCAATGTTCTCCACAGAAATAAAAGCATCCAAGTAGAAAATTAAATTTCAATTTAATGAAAAATTCTCCTTTAAAATATCATCAATGACTCTGCCAATTATAAGATACATTTGAAAACACATATCGAATTTGCTCCCCAAAGGCATCCGTCCCCTATTTCTATAGTGAAACGGTCCTATTATGTAATATCACATCAATCCAGTCACTAAAGTAAAAATCAGATGTTAAAATAAAACAAGTTAGTCATAAGCATCTGAGAGAAAAGTACAAGAGAATTGGAAGTTTTCCCAGTGAGAGTTTTTCCTAAGGAAAAAACACCCATATGGGAAACAATACTTTGACAGAAAACCACTTTATTGTAACCACTTTCAGAATCACATGGTCCATAATGATGAGACGTGCCCCTAGTATGCATGGCTCAGACTCAGGGGGACCCACTGTTCTCAGCAGAGTGGAAACAGCTGTAACGTGACCCAACACCTGCATCCTCACCAGCACTGAGCCCTTATCAGAGCTCAGGACTCACCAACTTTTTTTCCTCCAAAAGCTAACTAGAAAATTACTCTTTCCAGGTTCTCTCTCACACAGCAACAACTCCCCCCAACCCTCACCCCCAAACCCTCCCAATTATTTGTGATTCTGGGATTTCCTGTTAAAACAAGTACAGATTTTCATCCACAATATTCAAGAATAGTCAGAAAATCACAAATCTCCTTTCTTCTCTGTATTGGAAATGACTCTCTGGATGGAGTAGGGCAGTGATCGGCAAACTGCGGCTCGCGAGCCACATGCGGCTCTTTGGCCCCTTGAGTGTGGCCACGAAGTTTCAATCACACTGTACGTGCGCGCCCGCACGTGGTATTTTGTGGAAGAGCCACACTCAAGAGGCCGCAGTTTGCCAACCAACTGGAGTAGGGAGTACTGGGAAGTCCACTGATGTAGAAGGTCACACAAAATCACTTTCAGTGAAGATCCTTTATTTCTACCATTTGTTAACAATGTTTAGATCCTATGCTGAAACTTTACTGTTATCCAGACTTGAAATCTGCACCACTGGGAACCTTTTCTTGAGCTTTCATCTCATTTATCATTCAAAAAACCAAAAGTCTCAGTCCTCATGACTTTACACACAAAAAAGATAGTCTTACAAATTTCTGCCCATATAAAAAATGATTGTTTTTAAACTACACCTTTTGGAAAAACGTTTGTGAAAAATGGATGACTACTAACCAAATCATAAAATTCCTTGCCTGCCCATGCTCACAGCATCATTATGATAATCTTTTTCATCCAGAGAGGGCACACCCAGAACAGAGTTCACCTTTCTGTTTAATGATTCTCTATTAGAGAAAAACTGATGTGGTTGTAAACTGTAAGGAATGAAACCTCAATTACATCAGAGTCTAATGGTCTGGGCATTCTATTACAGTGTTTAACAGAACGGAAAGTCAGATTACTTACCTTGTGCAAAGGGAGCACAAGGAACGCGCCTCCCCCACTTGCTTCAATGATTATGGCAACAAATCTGGGATTGACAGCGCAAAAGGAACTATCCCAGGTCACTCGAGAAACCCGGATGTCATCATAACACTGGTCATTTTTTACCGCTTGTCCAAATACATGCCGAAACTTGCTCTGTCGTACCACTCGCCTCATCGTGTCTGTAGAAGAACAAAAATTATGTTAAAGTCATGCACTCAACTGAAAGCTTTACTTTTACAAAAAAAAAAAAAACAAAAAAAAAAACACACACACAAAAAAACTCCAAGTACAAAAAAACACCCAAAAACCAGAATGGCATGGCATTTTGTCTGTTCTCCTAAAAAATCAACCTAATGGCAAATCCAAACTTCCTTTAGCAGCACATACCCATAGAAAACTGAAAATGCGTCAGGGAAAGAATTACAAAGAAATGAAAAATTCCTAATTCAAGATCCAGAAACTGCTCATCAGTTTAATTTCAGGAAAAAGATCAAGACAAGGAATGGAGAAAAATTAGCCTTTCAGGACTGGGTGGGAATTGAAAGGTAAGTAAATTCAACTCTCTCCCCCTTTTAAAGATAAGAAAACTCCAAGTTAAGTTATGTAGTAGATGTGAGCTCAAGAACCCCTCCCCCGCATAAAAAGATATGATACTGTGGCTTTTTCCTCAGTCTGCCAAGGTAATTTTCCCCCAGACATCAGCACTCTGCTGTCTGAGAATTCTGCCCGCGCACAAGTGTTTCCACAAGTCCAACTACAAGAAGTGGAGAATTCAAGAAATATAAGCAACCACCCTTGTCTTCAAGAGCCTTCCAACACAGGCATTATAATCAGAGCAAAATCAGAACCAAACTCCTGGTGCTGAGTGCTACCAGGAATCTGGCTAAGGCAACTGATAGGTCAAAAGCCAGGTCTGAAAAAAAAGTAGCAAGGATTTAAATGGAGAGTATGTGATAAAAAATAATGTTTGGGATGACAAGTCTGACAGTGGCCTACTAGCATTTTAGGCAGGAAGAAGCTAAGAGCAAGGTGCTGGGCTAAGAGCTGTGACAATAAACCAGGCCTGGAAAGGCCTGGAATGACTGTAGCAGCAGCAGTTGGACAGCGGAAAGGAAAACTTAAGGGTGGTTTTTCACATCAGAGTTGATCATTCACCTGGGGGAGGGGTGTTATTCCTGGGCTTCCTCCTGGGTCATTTCAGACTCCAAATTCCACTAGGTTGTCCGATAGACATGTGCACTGAAAGCTTCCTGCTTCAAGATCACCAGGCCCCACCTGGTGAGTTTCCTAGACTGTACCAATGTAATTATCCTACCTGCTAATGGAGAACATTCTGCTCATATGGACTAGGATAAAAGGGGCCTGGAGAAAACCTAAGTGGAAATGGAACATGGTCAGCTGAAAACCAGTCATTCTGACCCCATCAGGTACAGAGGAGAGCTAACACCTGTCCACGCATGCCAAAAGGGACACATGGTAGGCTTTTGCTAATTGCTTCCCTCTAATTCCCTTTCTCATGACGCTGGGCCCACTGCTAAATGCAAAGGGAGATAATTTATTTTTTCCAGCCTCTTTCTAACCTTCCAAGGCATGTGCAAAAGTCGCCTCTCTCCAAGCCTGGGGCGTGTGGCTGGGTTGAGGCAACGAACCCTTGGCAGGCAGTTGAGCACCCATGTTCCTCATCCCAGCTGTTGCCAGACCTTTCCAGCTGACTACCAAGACCATACATTTAGAGTACTTGGTAGAGGAGAAGGCAAATTATTTGCTTCCACTTGGCCAGAGTTCTTCATTTGTGAAACAGTGTGAATAATTCTCAAGCATGAAGAGATAAAGAGTTTCCAGGAGGTGGTGAAAACCACAAGAAAAGCACATCCATACAAAAGCCAATGTACCGCCAGCTGGTTCCAGGATCCATTTCCCTACACAACCATCTGCACAAGTTAGCAGAAGCTCAAATCCCACCAGTACCTTCTAGCAAGTATTTCAAAAGTAAGTTAACATAGAACTAAGGATTGCACCATATGTCAAGAGTTAATATCCTTCATACACAAAGTTTTTACAAATTAAAAACATGAAAATCCCAATAGAAAATTACACAAAGGACATGAAGAGGTAATTTACAAAAGAAATACAAATGGCATTTATCTCCACTCCTTCCTGGAACCCTAATAAAATGGCAGTCAAAGAATAAAAGCAGCTATAAACACCAAAGGACAAGAGAAAGGTCACTGAATGGAGCCTAAGAGGAGTGCAAATGTGACAACAAAATCTTGAAAGATGGAAAGCTATTATATACATGTAACTGACTGAAGTGTGAATGTCCTGTCCTCTTGCGTGTCTCAGGAGGAAAGGCTCATTAAAAGAACACCAAAGCCCATGGAAACCCCAGAGCACTCTAGAGAAACAGGGATGTGGGAGAGGGGCTGAAGAGAAAATTGAAGCCTAAATCAGAAGCAGCTCAACACCAAGATCACCCTCTCCAATGCTGCACAATCACAGGACTACCCCACACCCACTCCAGCGGAAGCCAGATTGCATGCCCTGGGCAGGTCGACAGGTAACACAGGTATGAACAGGTGTCACAGTGACAATGTGATTCTGTACAGTGGAGTCTCCCTTGTTGCTGGGGCTCCCAAAACACTGGCTACCAGGCCTAGATACCACCAGCTCCATCTGGTAAGAGATCAGACCTCACCACCCACTGTGAGGTCCACCACTCAACCAGCCCCTCAGCCCACAGAGGCATGAGGTCAACTTTTTGTGCTTCCCTTTTAAATGTGAATGGACATTTGAGAAAGGCCTCTAACTTGAAAAACAAGAGACAACTTTCCTCTTCACTCAAATAAACTAGATATCATCTAATCTCACCAGCAATATAAACATAAATAAATATAAATATGTGAAGTGCTTTGAATATGTTAGTGAAAGGTATTACACAAATTTGCTGGCTAACTTACATACTAAAATACTTTTAAAAGTCATTTCTATATTATACACAGTGACAACTTATTTTCATCCTAACCGCATGGAGTCAGAATGATATACAGGTTCTTTTGCTACAACCATGGATTAGAGTGTCAGCTACAGAGCAGAGACAGTGAGAAAAGTCAGTGCGTCCACAGTGCTGCGCTGACCGAGCCAGGCAGGTCCAAGTGGAGACTGAAGAGCAGTGTGAGCCCATCCACATCCAAGGTTGAACCTGATCTGGGCTCAGCTGTCCACATGTGGCACAGCTGCTTTTCCTGCACATAACAGAGAGAAGCAATTAAGAGGGCAGGCTCCAGAGTCAGACAGCCTTGTGAGTGAGAAGCACAGCTGTACCATTTACTTCCTGGCCATGGTTCAGTGGGGCAAGTCAATGAATCTCTTTACGTGTCAGATTCTCTATCTGAAAATGGGTACAATACATATAAAGTTGAAGTGATCATTACATGAGGTAAGCACTTGGTGATAGGAGTGTAGCAAGAGATTAATATGTTAAAGCACCTTGTATGGTTAAACACACATATCTAATTACACAATATGTGTCCGCTCTTATCATCCTAGAACTTTACATAAGGTAACCCAGATTCAAATTCTAGCTTTACCATTTATTAGTAACTTACTTAATCTTTCTGAGCCTCATTTTCCTGATCTATAATAAGAATTAGAAACAACATCTGACAAAACCCAGGTCCAGGTGGTTTCACTACTGAAGTCTATCAAACATTTAAAGAATACCAATACTTCACAAATTTTTCCAAAGAATAGGAGAGGAGGAAATGCTTCCAGATTAATGTTATGAGACCAGTATTACTCTGATGCCAAAATCAGACAAAGACATGACCAAAAAAACCCTAGACAAGTATCTCTTGAGTATCAATGCAAAAATCCTCAACAAAATACTAGCAGACCAAATCTAGCATAAAATGCATTATACAACATGACCAAGTGCGACTTATCCAGGAATGCAAGGTTGGGTCAACATCTGAAAATCAGTGTAACATATATCAATCGAATAATAAACAAAAATCACATAATTGTCTCACACAGAAAAGCGTTTGACAAAATCCAACACTCTTGCATGATAAAAACACTCAACAAACTAGGAACAAAAGGAAACTTCCTCAAACTGATTAAAAACAAACAAACACAAAAACACAGCTAACAATATCCAGTGGTGTAAGATACTTTCTCCCTAAGATCAAGAACCAGGCAAGATGTCTGCTTTTGCCACTTCTACCCAGCAATGTACTACAGGTTCTAGACTGGGTAATTAGACAAGAAACAACAACAAATAAAAGGCCCTCGGATTGTAAAGGAAGAAGTAAAACTATCTCCAAATGCAAATGACATGATCTTACATACAGAAAATCCTAAGGAATACACTAAAAAACTATTAGAATTAATATTAGCAAGGTTACAGGATAAGAGACCTATATATAAGAATCAACTGTATTTCTGCACACTCATAACAAATAATCTGAAAATGAAATTAACAAAACAATTCCAGACCCTAGCCGGATAGCTCAGTTGGTTAGAGTGTCATCCTGATATGCCAAGGTTTCAGGTTCAATCCCTAATCAGGGCACATACAAGAATCAATCAATGAATGCGTAAATAAGTGGAACAACAAATTGATGCTTCTCTCTCACATTAATTTTTTTTAAAAGAAAACATTCACAGTAATATCAAACTCAGGAGTAAACCTAACCAAGAAGGTGAAAGACTTGTATACAGGCATACCCCATTTTATTATGGTTGGCTTTAAAATGCCTCACGGATGTTGCGTTTTTACAAATTAAAATGAAGACCCTCCACCAGCAAAAAGACTACAACTCGCTTTATTATAACACTTGCTTTATTGTAGTGTTCTAGAACTGAATCTGCAATATCTGAGGTATGCCTGTACTAAAAATTACAAAACACTGATGAAAGCAATTAAAGAAGACACAATTAAATGTAAAGACAGCTTGTGTTCACGGACCAGAAGACTTAACATTAAAATGGCAATACTCAATGTAATCCCTATCAGAACCCTAGCTGACTTCTTCATGAACTGATTCTAAGATTCATATGGAATTTCAAGGGACCCAACAGTTGCCAAAACAACCTTGAAAGAGAAGAACAAATTAGGAAGATTCATACTTCCTGGTTATAAAACTCACTACAAAGCAATGGAAATCAAGACAGTGAGGTA